GACTTCATGATCAGGAACTGCAAGTTCTACCTTTTTGCTGCATGTGTCCCTAAAGGCTTTATATCCTGATATAAAAACATTCAGGTGCATTAACCCCTTGACGACGGGAATTTCTTTCCGAAAGCCAACTCTAAGAATTCCAGCCTTGGTTGGCCACAAAGGCCACCTGCCAAACCACAGATTCTTGGTTTGTTGCCCTGCGTGCTCTGCCTGCTTTGAATTACACGGTGAAAAGGCTGATTGTTTGGTGGCATGCGGCTCTACTCACCCTTCCACATTCCCGTTGCCTATTTTCAAAGTGGGGACTATTGTGAAGCTGGTGATTATGATGCAAATTCGGTCTTTTCATTTCTGGGCTACACACAAAGGCCAGTTACCATTTACACAAGAGCCAGGGTCTGCCTTCTTTCACCGTGTTCGCGTGAGCTTGGGCTGAGAATAATAGCTGAAAAGCGGGCTGAGGATCTCAATTTTTATGGCGTGTCTTGCCGCGTCCCGGCGTGAAGGGGTTAACAACAGACTTGAATGAATGGTCAAGACACCTGCTCCAGTAAGCAGTAGGTTGCGGGTCTGAGTCCATTCAAGGTGAAATAAGAAGTTATTTCTGTTCAAATGCTATGTTGTATTGTAGTAATGCTCATGGTAGCTATTGCCCATAAATTGATTGTGTGAATCTTTTTGCCTTGTTACAGAGCTGTTTCACACTGAGAAGTCACATGTACGCAATCTAAAGGTTTTGGACAGGGTATTCTACCGACCGATGCTTAGAGAGCAGGTTCTTTCTAAGGAACTCATCCACGCTATCTTCCCCAATCTCAGTGAGATGCTTCAGCTTCATGGACCACTCAATGAGTATATGAAAAAGGAACGCAAGACATCACATGTTATACAAGAAGTTGGACATGTCCTTCTGAAAACTGTGAGTTTCTTCAGTCTGGGACTTAATCGTTCTTTGTAAATTGTACATTCGAACAAGCTATTATATTTGTAAAATTCCGAGATTTGTAACGTTTGAATTAGGGGCTGGTGAAGAGATGAACAAAGCAGTGAACCTAGCCGTCGGGATGCAAAATAAAAGATGGCAAAAAGCAGTTGTGCTCGCCGCTTTCCAAGATGTTATCAAAGTAGCACTGTCTGTAAAACATGATTCTGAAACTTTCCTTTATTCTTTCCTGCATTTTTTCTAGTTTGATGGTGAGGCTGGAGAGACAGCTAAGCGAATCTGTGCCATGTTTTGTCAGAATCAGAAGGCAGCATTGGAGATGTTGAAGATCAGACAAAAGAAAGACAGTCGGTTAGCTCAATTCCTGATGGTAAGGTTTCTCTCATGGTATCTTGGATGGGCCAGTGGTTGATTCACGGCTGAGAATGTTTTAATAAGCTCTGCAAAACTACTGTAATATTGCCATGTGTACTGTTGGCTCAAGTGGGCGTGCCCTTGATGCATAGAGGACGCACTAAGACTGCCTTTGTTTGAGATGGTCTGTTCTGAGTAATCTTTGTTTTCTTGACTAGCCCTTCCATAAAATGAGATAAAATCAGAATTGTACCAAAACAGATGTTCTTCAGCTTAAGCAAGCACGGCTTACATGTGAGAAAAGATGCCTAGTGCTTAAACAGCTTTGTCTCCAAACCAGCAGTTACATTCTGTTTTGATTTTTGGGGTTATATTTCAGGATGCTGAGGCCAATGCATTGTGTCGACGCTTACCCTTACAAGCCATCATATCAACTGGAATGCAGAGACTAACCAAGTACCCGTTACTTATTGAAAATCTCTTGAAATACACACCGCGTGAGTATTCATTTGATAGCCACATTCTGCCAAGTATTATTCCCAGCAATGTAGAAAAACAAAGTCGGGTTTTTGGCATCCAATTTTGATAGATTATTCACCTCTTTCCTATCGCCCTAAACAGCCAAGTCCAAAGAGTACGAAGTCTTGGGCAAATGTCTACAGTGTACTAAGAATCTCTTAGCACATGTCAACCAGGCAGTCAAAGATTGTGAGAACCATCAACGATTACTGGACATCAACAGACATCTGGATAAGGGGCCGTTTGAACGGTCCAATCATCCTATTGCTGCCGAGTACAAGGTGAGATGATCATAGAACCAAGTGTATGAGATCTGCTTTTCAAAATGTGTTGATGAAGTGTGCATAACTACTACATCAATGGTATATATTGTCTTTGAGGGGCGCTGTGTACCATTTCTGTTGTGTCCGGATTGCAATTCAACATTGGGACACACTGCTGTAACAGTGAACTGAAACTTACAATGACACAAGCAATTACAGTTGTCTGTGCTATTCATGTAAGGCTTTCTATATTTTAGTCTTACAGCTCTGTCTGTTTTCTTCTCAGAATCTTGACCTGACGTCTCGGAAGCTTCTTCACGATGGTGCACTAACATGGAAACTCAGTAAAACCAAAACACTCGGTGAGAGGAACATGACTGCTTCAGGAAATCAGAATAGCAAAGACAAATGACCGCCAGACTAGCATGTCATGTGTATCGCTTACAACTTCCACTCGACTGATACCTGATGATATTAGTTCTTTATACAAACAGGTTGATCAAGAGCACAGTACCATTTTTTTTACCGAAAAGGGCTCAGGTTTAAAAAAATACTGAAGTACTTTACTCATCCATGATTGAATACTTTTTGCAATGCATAAAATATTTAGTTTTTTTTTAAGATCGTATTAATAATTCAAAGAAGGGTTCATATACTGCCGAGATTCTCAGGCCAATATTGAAATGTTGACTAGTTGTCTGTTTTCCTTGCAGATATTTATGCACTTTTGTTTGCTGACATTCTGGTGGTGCTTCAGAAACAAGATGATCGATATGTGATGAAATGTCACAGCACGACGGTACCAACACAGCTTGAAGAAAAGAAGAACACGCATAGTCCAATCATCAAGATCAACAGTGTCTTGTGTCGAGAGGTTGCAACAAGTAGGTGTCTCTAGTATCATTTGGTATACATCTGTTGAATGCACAAGACCACAAGCTTGTAAACAGGTGCCCACAAGGGCACTTACAGAGTCGTTGACATCGTTAGAAATCTCAATCCTGTCGCTAAGATCAGTACATTGGTGTTAACATGTGTCTACTGAAATCATTCTGTAACCCTCTGCAGAATACATGCAATCCTAATCCCATTAGCACAGACTTTAGACAGACTGACTGAGGTTGTATGCCTGAGACGAAAGCTAAGGGACCTGCATAGGAATACCAGCATGTACCTGTCTGCTTGACAGAGCGGCTGAGGTTGTATGCCTCAGACGATAGCCAAGGGACCTGCATAGGAATACCAGCTGATTCCTGTTATCTTTACTACTCTTGGAGTTCCTACAGATGTCTGCTTGACTGTATTTAATATGAGGTGGCAGATATTGAATGGCCTAGCAATGAGTTTGGGGAATTCTCTCTTGACATATGCTAAATGTTTTGTAGGCCATTGTATGTGTACAGAACACTTCCTGAAATCAAAATCAACAGTACTAAACATGTTGGGGTCAAACATTGTTGGGATATTAATTACTAGTTCCTGGTGCTGTGGTCAAATCTGTCCCAAGTCTATTTCAGATCATCACATGTCAAGCTAATCAAAAACCAAATAAAATGCAACAGATGAATTCCTTTATTTTTGCTTGTTGTCTGTTTCTTTAGATCAGGTTGTTGATTGACTGGAAAGTGACTTTTGACAAGACATACTAAACCCCCTATAATGCAGGATTTATGTTCCTTTCTAAGATAAGCGAGCGTTCTTCCTGGTGAGTACATCTGAAGCTGGACCTCAGATCTATGAACTCATGACCATCTCAACCTCAGAACGTCAGGCATGGATGGACATGATCTTAAGAACTCAGGAAACCATCAGGAAAAATGGCAAGACGGGAGAGGCGAGTGCAACCTCCAATACCGTCTCAAGTCCCTTCCCCGACTACAGGAAGATCATTGAAGAGGAAGCAGAAGAAAGTAGCAAGCCGTAAGTTGGAGTTAGTTCTCCCTAGGGTTCTGCCGTGGCATCTACAATTCCTTACAGGCATGATGAGCAGGGGTAGTGATGATTTTGGATCTTGAGACCAAGTAGTTTGTATATTTCAGAATACATCACAGTTTCATCAAAATCTTTAGAAAAGCTATGTAGGATGAGGCATCTCAAGTAAAATAAAGATGCATTGGATGCCTTTCAAACCAGGATGGCAGATTGTTGGCATGAAATGCACCTGTCTCCTAACCTGAGCTTATGTTAACCTAGAGTGTCATTGACATATGTCCTCTTTCTTTCAGTGATGCAGCTGAGGGTTCTGGTAAACTGGAAGCTGGCCCAACGAGCATCGAGATCAACAACCCTCCACAAGTCAGTCAACCTGAAGTTGTCATGCAGAGTTCTATGGTCACAGGTGTGTTCATCACGTTCATTACCTGCAGCCCGTAGCATCCCGTCCATTACCTACGTCCCCTAGCATCAGCCAATTTTTTCTGATCTCTCTTGTGAAGCTATGGAGCATTATTTTGGACATCAGATGTACTCCCCAATTTTACTGCTGCTTACATTTGTTCACATCAACCCTTAAAGTGCCAGGGTGTGGGGAACCATGGTACCCCCAAAGCACCAAGGTATGGGGAATCTTGATACCCCAAAGCGCCAGGGTGTGGGGAATCTTGATACCCCAAAGCGCCAGGGTGTGGGGAATCTTGATACCCCAAAGCGCCAGGGTGTGGGGAATCTTGATACCCCAAAGCGCCAGGGTGTGACGAATCTTGTTCTTGTTCTCTAACATCATCACTGTTTTATGGTGCTGAGCTCTTTGAGTTTCTCTGCAGTAGGGGCATTTCACAATAGTGTGCCCCCAAGAGTTTTTAGCTTGATGGCTACTCTGTCGAACCCTGTGCGCATTTGGAAAGGGTTGACAGATTTCGTGTGTTGTGATTGGCCAACGTATTGCAAACCCTTGGAGGCACATTGTTGTGAATCGCCCGTATTGTCTTGAAATTAGACATATGATTTTGACAAAGTGTCCACTTACCCAAGGCATATTTGCCATATTTATCAGGAGTGTTACTATTGAGTGCTCAGAGCATGGACTGACATGCGCAAGAGCTTGGTCAGTGAATATAGCAACAAAACCCACATGTAGATTGAACACAAATGTCAAAGATCTATTCAGAGTGGACGTCTGTCCATGTGTGCCAAGTTTCACCTAGAATGGTCACTTGGAATCTGCAATGGAGGGGGGCAAATTATGTAGCTCAGTAAGTCTTTACTCATCAGGAAGGCCTGATTTTGGGTTGAAGAACACAACTAAACACACTACATGTTGTTGCAAGGAGTGCATCTTGTCCTACAGGGAGTATTATATCAA